AACAGGGTAGAAGACATTCTGATGAGTGTTTCCCTTTATTGGTGCATTATAATAATACATAGTAGTGAGATTCCTTATGCCATATTCAGACATGCACATAATATAACATGATTAAGTTCATTTCCTAGTAGCTTCCCTTTCCTTTCTTCTTTCTCCTGATCTGCTCATTCTATCCTACTGATCATCTATTTATTATTATTATTACTACTATTATTCATGTATTGATTTATGCCGTGGTGAGTTTGGGCCTCCTCCATGTCCTATTTCACAGGCTATAGATAAATGGGTGAGTTTTTCATCATAGGGACCCTAGAATACCACCCCATTCACCTCACAGCGATTAGTTTACAAAGGAGCAAAGGTCCTGATTCTGGACTGTGATATGTGAAAGGATGTTTTCTTAATAACTCCATGAGATGGCTGGCTCTCTGTTGCATCATAACCTAAGGAAAACAGAGTCTGCATTCTGTAGGAATATGACCCCTGGAACTGAGCCAGGCTTTCAATGACCAGAGGGGCAGCGTTAGGGTGAAACTAACAGCAGGAGGGGTGAATAAGGGGCTTGCACTGTGTGTAGAGGTTCAGCTTGTGAAATTTAATTAACTCGGGATGATCAGCTTCATGGTGTGAGCACAGTTAATAGTGTTTTCCGTGTTTTGAGCTAGACCCATTCTCATTCATGAAATTCAAACACTCGATAATCATGGCAAATTCTTCAATATATAATTTAGGCCAAATGCATGAAAGAGGAAGCCAAGGTTAGTGGGTGTGATTTTGCTATGTGAATGGCATATTGATAACCCCTGAGCTGATCGCCACCTTCTGTCATGGTTGACTGACACTGCATAGCTCCTATAATCTCTGCAGAATTACTTCAGCTCAACAGAAAATGGCAGGGTAATTATCAGCCTTGGAGACAAAGTTTAGAATATCATGAGTTATAAAACAGGAACTAAGATTGCAATAATTTGGTTAAGCCATAAATGGCCGTGTACATGGGTTGAGGTAGAGGCTAGTCCTCCTCCTGTACTGAGATGCTTACTTCATCCTTTGTCCTAATGTCCTACTGTCACTCACATTCCTCTGAGAAATACCTCCAAATCTCTACAGCTAGAACCCTTTGTTTATGTTTGGCC